CAGTAGAAAGTGTGAGGGCTTCTTTGAATACTGTTTTTATGCCCCACTTCTTTACTAATTCGCCTATCTTTTTTGAGAGAAAGCATGACGGTAAAATTAGGACATGGGAAAAAGTATCATCCTGTCTATCTCCGACTAAATGGTCTCCGTCTGAAAATGTATTCCCCAGTAAAGAGATATTATTCTCAATAAGGCCTAAAGGATAATTATTTTCCAAGAATATATTTGTCAGCCGTTCCAACTCTTTAGTCAAATATTTGCTATCCGCTAGTTTCATACTTCTTAGAATCTGAACTTACGATAAAGCATGCTTGATTCGAATTTATTCACTTGGATCAAAATGAAGGCAAAGGCATATTTACTCCTTTGACCTCATCCACTCGTATCACAGACACGTGGGGAACATAAACAGCCATATTCTACTATAAACACCCTCTTTGTTTTTATATAATTGTTTTGACCTCATATTTATCTGGATTTTAATTTTAACCTCGCCGTGATTAATCTTTCCACAACAGATCCAGTGTCGGTTTGCTCGGCAACAAGATGACCATGTTCTGTGTAGACGTTACAAATGCGCATAAGGTTGAAGGCGCTGGCGGTGGCAACCCCTCCGAAGGCGAAGTCATTGAAGTAATTGACTGGCCACTAAGCGAACTCGACAAACTTCTACTCCAAGGCAGCTATCTAGACCCCTCGACTGAATCACCTGAAATTCCGGAGACGGTAGCATCCTTGCTTTTCGCTGTCATGTGGTACAAGCAGAACGTCTTAGGCAGGAAATTTCATCAAGAGGGCCCATCTTGAGTGCAAAACTTGACCATTATTACACATTATATCTTTGATTATAATTGAATAGACGTTCTGTGTGCCTCCCATTCCGTTTCGCTTTATCATGAGTTTTCGTTCTGGCCCCTGAGTTATGATCTCATCTTAATTTGTTTGCCTAATCTGAAATATATTGTACATAAAAGTGAGCCATAAACCATGTTTAGCTAAAATTTAACTACTCGACCAGACCTCTGTGCGATGAGCCATTAGATTTATCTCGTTTTAAGTTCCAAATACAATACACTAGGTATAGATGACCTTACCAAACAGGATGCCCCAAAGGCCGAAAGCATCGGACCTAATCCACAACTAACCTCTGAGCCCGATTCTGCAAATCACAAGCATAACTCATTCGATTTTGGGACATGTGTAATTGCCATTGTCTGATATGTCCATAGCAATGCCTCTCCGAATCCATTGAATATAAAGCTACATTTTATCACAATCCGATGCTGTTCTTAATATTATTGCCACTTCCTCC